AGCATCTCGCCGTGCAACTTGACGATATAGGTGCTGGGCTTAGGAGCTGAAGTTGATGAAGCTTCACGAATTTCAGCTTAGAACTAGCGGTTTAGGGAGAGAGGGACCTGCTCAAAAGGGCGGACCAGCAAGGAGCGGGTAGAGTGATGTGCTAAGAAGGACGGGCGAGGCAGGCAAGTCACCCATCCCACCCTCTTTTCTGTATGTTTGATTGACTTGCAAGTGCATTCTTTGGCGTATTTTGGCAGCAGGTAGCCAGCCCTTGCCGCGCACCCGCCCCTGCACACCGTCGCGTCCGTGAGAGTCTCGGGCATCAAGAACGTCTCCTGCTGGACGCTGTTCCCTATCTTCACCTGGTAGTTGTTGTTCTTGATGTCGGGGGTGTTTCTGAAGATGTCCTCCGCCTTCTTCGCATCGTCTACCTCCACTACGTGAAGCAGCTCGAAGAAGTATGGGGGCTTGAACGTCCGCTTGTGCGCGTTGTTTCGCTCCTTGAGATTCGCCGTGTGTCCGAATTTGCAAATGCGTCGAGGCTGTTGCTGGATCACTCCAACGTATAGGCACTTTTTCGCGTCGTATGTCACGAGGTATGCTTGCTCCCTGTTCGTGACAGGTTGCGTTTGCTGCGTCAGCTCGACGTAGGCGTCTCGGATCGCACGGAAGAATGCCCGCACTCTGTCGCCCGTCTCGGTCTGAGCCACCATGGCAAAAGACTCGAAAGCTTGGACGGTCATGTAGTACTTCTCTGCAGGCCGGCCGCCTTGGTCGAGGATTTCATCAGATGAAGGGGGGTGACCAGGATCTCCGTGTTGAAGTTTGCTTCAAAAGGCTGATCAGCATGCACCTCGCCGTGGAATGGGGGCAATCCGTGTGACGCTAATGTTCCACAAATACCCCTCATGTGTAGCACTGTAGCGTCTCGTTTCAGCTCATCAGGCTGCGACATATTGCGGGAGACTCTCTCGAGCATGTGCGTGTATGACAAAAACATGGTAATAGGGGCCGTAAAAAAAGGCAACAGTCATTATTTCTTGCCAGGGTGGGATCAATCTGATGATGATCATTAAAACGACGACTTAGACGGCGAAGCTGACAGGACTCTGACAGCCTCCGCCTTTCTACCGTCGTAAGCTTATGAATTGGAACTACTGCAATCTGTGGCACGCTTCAATGTCCAACAAACGTCTTCAAAATCTGATTCTTCAAATAAGATAACTAGGGCCACTTTGAAGCAAGGAACCTCCCTTCAGCATTTGGTACGACGTAAAAGAGGCGGCCGCGATGGCCCAGCCAGCCGAAGTGCTGCTTCGCAACCTCCTTGGAAAATTTTAAGCCCCCCAACGCAAAGCAGATGAAACTCCTTTTGCTCTCCTCCAACTGAAGTGCATTGTAGTCCGCCAATGTGGCTTCGTCTGTATCACTCACATCCACCTTCAAAAGCTCCTCCCAGTACTGCAAAGCATTCTTTAGTTCCGACTCAGCTGCCTTATACTGCCCATCCATATTGTGTTTTGCTTCTATCAAAACCACCACAGGCTGCCCGTCAATGGTGCCCCGCACAAGGCCATCCAGGTCACCCACCCTTGCTTGGAATTTGTACCTTAAGGAAACTATGATCTCCGAGTCCTCTAGAATACTTGCTACAGCATTGGAGACGCACTCCTCAATGAGTAAGTCATCTGCATCCCGGTAATTCCTCATTTGAGTCAGCTCCGCGCCAGGATCCTTGTATTTTTTTTAAAAAGTAGTCAACTTCTTCTCCGCCATCGACAGCTGCTTCTCATGCCTCCTGTTACTGATGGTCAACTCCTCAGCTAACCGTAAAAGGGCCGTATTTCCCCAAGGGCTATTTACAAAGACACGCTTATCAAATAGATCTTCACAATGAAGCTCTCTCATTGCTTGCTGCAATGCAGGGGGGAAAATTTCCCATCCAAAGCGCACTGAGATCCTTGAAAGGCCCTCAATGGTCAAGGTTTTAAGTACTGTCTTGAAGTCATCAGGGGTAGCAGTCCCAAGCCTGTTATTGTCTAGATCGATTGACAAATTGCTTTCTAGATGCACCTCACTCTCCTGAATCTTCTTGAACAGTGCGGTGAGAAGGGGGGGATATATAGCATGATCTGCGAGGTTCCAGAACAGAGGTTTCCCAAATGGTTGCATGCAGCAAACCTCCCAAATGGAGAAATCTACAGGGCAGACCTATGTCTTGACCTCCAGGAAGCACTTAATTTTTTGGCAGCCAACAAAGAAAGTGCACGCTACAGCCTTTTGGTGGATCGTTCAGGAATGAGCTACGACAGCAATAGGGTTGGAGGTGATTATCAGGTCAAGCTTGAGAACGGGCGAATGTTCACCTTCTCTGTTCGAAAGCACGTCGACTCGGATCATTTATTATTACTGGCCGTGGCGTGGAACTAGTAACTAACATTGGGTTCTGCTTCCGACTAACCCTAGTTGAGTACTTGGGCAAAGCGCATTCTTGATAGTCGTGTCACACACATTGTAGAAATCCGTATCGATGTTCCATTCACCGTTGATTAGCAACAAGGCGCACAACATTGTCTCCGATGGCCGCAGCAAACAATAGGCGTCCAATGTCAAGAACAGATTACAGAAGCAATACCGGCACAGACGAAGTCTCTTTCGTGGAGTTCAGGATCAGTGCAATAGAAAAGAGTATGAATTGATCTTTCACAAAAATAATTGTGAGTTTATTATAAGCTTCTAATCTGCCTGTAAACGTTTATTACACTTGTGCCATCCATAGTCGTTTCTCAGAAACAGAGACGGAAAAAAAAGCATTTTGTGCGTGCTGAACACCTAGCCATTTTTGGTGCGCTTCGTCAAACCCTCGAGGGCCACCCGCCGGCTCTTGCATGCGCCCACCCGCTGTCTCCGCTTGGGATGTATTGACGTAGCCCAACAGCTGAATTGCAGAGACGCAATAGGAATCAGCCACTGACTTCGGCAGAGCTTGCTTGTCGAGCTTGCAAGTGACCCCAAAGACAGTCCCAGCTTAGGCACGAAAGACAATTGAGCAACTTTAAAGATGCGGATCTTTGTAAACACTCTGAAAGTAGAGTCGTCCGACACCATTGAGAACGTCAAGGCGAGCATCCAGGACGAGGAGGGGATCCCGCCCGAACGGCAGCACCTCGTCTTCTGTTGGCAAGCAGCTGGAGGACGACCCGCTCGCCGGCGGACTAGAACATCCAGAAAGAGTTCACTTCAAGCTGGTGCTTCGACTCTGACGAGGAACATCTTGAACGGTGAGGATGTCATTGCAGTCCACGAACTGATGCCAGACAAGCTCACCTGTCAATCTCCCTGCCCACTACGGGTGGCCGCCCACAGCTTCTTTGCAAACTTTTGTTGGGCCAACCGTTCTTCATAGACCGCCATCTTCTGGGGATCGTCCTCGTACGCGGAGCGCCATGCCTCTCCGGCCACCTCGGTGGAGGCAATGTGTTCGACCACCCAAGCATTTTCGGGATCTTCCGTATACGCTCGGGTTCCCACGGACCATTTTATGAACTCGGCGACATTTGGAGCCTCCAACGATTCCCCGGGCGTTGCAGCAGGAAATCGCTTTACGAAAAAGTCCCAAGGTCCGATCATCTTTGCGTGCGCTCTTCTCCAGTCCGTGAGTTCCTGGTTGAATATGTTCTGCACTCGCCGGTACTCTCGGACATTGGCTGCCACCTGGTCAAGCCCCGCAGAGACTTCCTGCGCCAACTCCCACTGCTCCCGGAACTTTTTCTTTTTCTCCAGCTGCCAGATCTGTTCATAGAGACTGACGAGCTCCAATGAGTCTCTATCTATGCGCTCCTTCATCTTCACCAATTCTTGAGCCGCCTCCCAGGTCACCATTTCTGCCGCATCTGCAGGGGCCAATGGGGAACAGCGCAGGTGCCCAAAAACAGCCCCCAGGACATCGAGCTTGTCGCCGTCGGGAAGAGGCTTCTTGACGGACGGAAGAAACCTCTCCGCCCTGCGACGAGAGAAAGCTTCCACCAGCCTGCGAGACGTGTCTACTTGTTTCTTGGCCCTTTGAAGTGAGCTCCATGCCTCCTTGACGTGCTCTGGTGCGTTCCCCTGAGCTGGATCCTCCCCGGAATGATGCCAGCGATCGCACTCGTACAGGCCGATGGCCAGCTTCCGCTGCTCAACTTCAGACAATGCGGCCATGGCGTTCTTGTGCTGTTTCTCAGCAGGTCTAGCAGCGTTCAACGGTCATCTCAGGCCCCAATCACGCTGCTGCGCTTTTCTTGCGCCCCAACCTGCCCTCGTCAATAGCGATATATATACATGACCCGAATCGAGACATTCGTCTTTGTCAATCGCGGTCTGCATGCCAGCCTTGCGGGTCTGCATGCCAGCCTTGCGGGTCTGCATGCCAGCCTTGCGGTCTGCATGCCAGCCTTGCGGGTCTGCATGCCAGCCTTGCGGGTCAATCAATCAATCATATACTTGAAAGTCCCGTAAGAGCCTCGTGGGTGTGTCAATCGAAGCGGTGGACGCTCGAAAGCGTTCCTTTCAGCCTCGACAATGATCGCATTGCACGAGTAAGAAAGACACGACCGCGAAGCTGATTATACGGATTTTTCGAGGCAACAGCTTGGACCCGCACCCAAGAGGACTACGGTACCACAGCTTAGCCTTTGAAGCCTCCCCCAGACTAGGCCCCGTGAGCCGCCGACGCATCGTTTTGCATAACGGATTGTATTTTTTGATGAAGGCAACCAATGCTGCTGCGGGTTGCCAAAACGCTCTGCGCGCGTGCTCGCGCACACCAGCCTGGGCACGTGGCTCCCCCCTGCATGCCACCGTGGCTACGCGGAACATCACAGTGGGCGAATACGGCCCACTCTGACCACAATTGTTTCCCCCGGGTCCTTTTGACCCGTAACTACCCCATAACGAGTGCCGGGTACTGTCACGGTACAAACCGAGACCGCCTTCGGGTGCCCTGCAATCACCCCCACATATTGCCCCCTACGATCGCGGTCCCAACCTGATTTGCCATACGCATCCAGAAAGTCCCCCAAGTAGGCCGACCGAAGACTTCCCGCACTTTTCGAACCTTCAACCCAACCCCGGGGTTCTAGCTAAGACCTTCCTGACTAGACTGCCCAGGGTTGACAGTGTTTGTGAGCGCCCAGGGTTGACAGGGTTCTCTGAGCGCCGAGGTTCTGATTCATGCTACCACGTGGGCAAGCAGTAGTCTGTGGCGGCAAAACTGTACTAGCCAGGCGAAGTCCTTGGTCAGCAGCAGCAAGCCTTCTGCTGCGCAGGAAGGGAGAGGATTACATACCCTGTTGATGCAGACTGACCCATCATCTGCCTGGTAGATGCACTGCAAGAGTCTAATAAACAGCAGAGAAGTGGATGCAGCGTAGCAGCTAGCTTTGTGACATGCAATCAACCTCAAATAAGTATGAAGGTCTGCAATCTGGAAGAGACGATAGGCGCTCTGAACGCCATTTTGGCGCACAATTCCACACTTTTCGCGTCCTTGCCGCAAGTTCCTGAGGGGGAGGCTCGTGTCTTACATCTGGACCCACAGGGTCAGGGTTTTCAAGTGATTTGGGGAGGGCTTGCGGAGGACATCTTGAGTGCAACTGTGCAGTACGATATGAAGGTACAGCTAAAGTGCCTCTTTGAGCAGACACAGCGCAGAGAAGATGGCGTTAGAGGTTGGAGTAGCGTTGTGTTCCTCACCACTCTTAACTCAGAGCAGGCTCTGTACAGGATCTTGCTGAAGCCAGGAAGACATGATGTGAAGACAGCTCAGGTGATCAGAGGTTTTGCGGTGAATCTGCACGTACGGTTATACATGACTCCGCGCGCGCGTCATGTTTTACACGCGCGCGCTAGCATCGGTTTGAAATTACATTTGAGATTCGAGCTGCCGAGGCACTCCACGTTCTGACAGCTGTGTTCGCCTGGCCGTCGCAACCGTACCTAAGTTAAATTAGGTACTGCCATGTCTGGGACTGTATAAATTGTTTTCCTGACATGCCAGCTCAAAAAACATGTGTCCCTGGTGTGCGCGCGACAAAACCAACCCAGCAAGGAATAGTCTGGCACCATGGGACGGGGGTGCGCGCGCCAGGGACCTAGTGGGGATATCATGATGCTGAAATGCTTGCGCTGCACTGCTCTTGGGGGAACCCCAGTGACAGAGATTCATATATTCCAGCTAGACAGACACAACATGGCCGACAAAACATACACGAGAGTACCATCTTAACGAAGCCGTTGTCGCAATCTTGAGATGATGTGACACGAATGAAACCGAAAGAAACAAACACCCTTGACGATTCCGAATTCGCATGCAAATGTGGAATCGAAGTCTGGTGTTATCGAGTGAGCCTCTGTCGTGCAGATCAGAAAACGGTAGCTTGCTCTTAATTCTAAGTCAAGCACGCTTCAAACAGTTCAATCAAACGTCAAATTCTTTCAGATCATCCCTCAGAACCGGAAGATTGTCTTGTATCGGCTTGGGATACGGGGGACGGTCGGCCTCAGGTCCTAGCTGCTTCCCCAACTCGTTGATCAGCTCTATTCAGGTGTGGTCGGGTGATTCTCCCTGTATTTCTCCATGCCCCCGTTGCAGTAGTCGAAATTTAGAATATAATCTATATGATATCGCAACCGCTCTGAAAGCTTCGAGAATTCCACGGAATGTTGCACTCCCTCGCCCACGACCTCTCTGAGAACGTCTGTGGCGTACCTCAAAAGCTACAGAAAGTCGGAATTGCCGACCCCTTCTTTCTGAATCACCACCAAGGCCCGAAATCAGAATCGACATACAGATCCTGATGCATGCATATCGTAGCTCAGGCAGAATGTATAAATTACATGCGGTACGAATCGTGCGTCAAGTAAGTGATGAACAATCTCAATAGAAAGCAGCCAACTTCAGTGCCACGGCATTTCAAATGTCATTGCGACAATTGACGTAACATACACGGCAAAAACAAACAAATCAACATGCCTTGTTCCTAACAGGCTCTAAACTATGCGTGACTGCGCTGCAAACTAACTTACCTACTGCCAGTAAGGAATTTTTGAACACAATTAGACAGTCTTGCTTTACCTACAAATCAGAACTGGTCACAACGCCAATTATCTACAAATCATAACTTATTACAACGCCACCCATGCTGCTTTTCCTGCGCGCCAAACGTCGTGCTGCGTCTCGCTCATCGCCACATTCGGTAGCTCGGGAGTTCCCATATCGCCCGATTGTAGTGCGTCGCTCGGCAAGACCCCCGTCTTCAAAAACTCTCCCACCGACGGGAAACTCTGTGGCGAGGATAACTCGATGACGCTCTTTCTGAAACGTTCTTTTTCCTCATGCGTATGAGCAAGCCATGATCTCAGCTTGGTATTCTCTGTGGTCAAGGATCGAACCTGCCCCCTCAAGTCGTCAGGATCTATCGCCTTTACAACGTCTTGTTGCCGTCTCCACTTCTGATAGGTTGCCACCTCAGCTTCATACAGTTGCTGCCACCTTTCAGAGCCTACCCTCGCATTATTATATGCCCCGATCCAGGCGTTGGTCTTTTCCAACTGAGTTTCACCCTCACGCATCGAGGTTTCATAGTCTGCCCGGACTCCTCCAACTGCAGCTTCATTTTTTCAGATTCGGCTAACAAATCCTTATATGTCATCCTCGACTGTTTGAGATCATCTGACACAGCATCATACTGGCCCTTCATCTGCTCATACTTTGCCTCCGCATCCTCCAATCGCCGCTTCATCTTTTTAGAGTCAGCCTCAAGTTCACCACGTC